AATAAAATGCCGACATGGAAAGAGAGATTCAGAAACCAAAACAGTCCTCATTTTTGGTTTACAACTTGTGTTATTCCCTTTTTTTAACCAATAATTTTCCAAACACTTTTTGAATGGTCACTATAATGTCGTTTCACAAAAAAAAAAAAAAGTGACAATTTTTTTTACAATAACCAAATAAATTTTTTTTTACAATAACGCACTATAGATATAGAGGTTCTAGCATTTATTGATTAGTATATAATTTTTTACCAAAATTTTGGGGACTAAACACTCAAATATGGTGACCAAATTTTAGCTTAATTTATAAATCCGCTGTGATAACACTAAAAACAGTTCGTCGTATTTGTTGCTTTTAATTTGTATGTTGAGATACAGTGAACTTATAATCCGTTGTCTTTCCCAAAATTGAGGTCGTCTAAAGCCAGGTAGTTTTTAAATTGATTATTAACAAATTCGTAAAATAAAAATCACGCGATGCATATAAATTACTACCTGGATAGTTTGAAAACTGTTATAACTAAAAAAAAAAAGTATAAAAACTCTAACTTTTCGCCTTTTTCCAAAATTTTTTCAAAAGCTTTATAATTATGAACCAATCCACAAATCAACTTATTGGCGCTCAACCACAAAATAATATTGGCCAGCTGCAAAGGCCACGGAATATTGGTGGACTACAGAATGCTAATGGCCAACTTCGAAGAACCACAAACATTGCTATGCTGCCTATGAGACCTCAGAACACTGCAAATCTATTCACCGGTACTTTTACTTCTGTTCAACAATATGCTGACTTAATTAACGGCTCAGATCCATTCACTAGAACGCAAGGTGTAGAAAATCTGCCACCACAGAACTCCCGACTTTCAACGTTGTTGTTTTTAGGAGTTTCTTTTCCTTAAAAATATGATTATGCATAAATATAATTTTCTCTAAGATAGCGTTTTTTACGATGAAATAATATTATTATTTATTGTCTTGTAAGTTTCTCATTCTAAATATAAAGATATACTTAAGTGTATGTGGTAAATATTTTTATTTTCTCTAAGTTAGCTCTATTTATGGTGAAATTCCTATTATTTTTTTTATTTTGTAAGTTTCATATTCTAAATATAATGGCACATTTAAAACGCATGTTGTTAAATAATTCTAAATTATAAATATTATATAGCATATTTATATGAGTTCTATTAAAACTCTGATTTTGAACATGAGGTTTATTCCGTTTCTCCACAACCGTAACTCTTATCACGTGTAAGTAGAATATCCGTAAATTAGAATCGTCAGATGTCATTGCACGTGCAATGTTAATATATGAAGATCTGTCATGGCGATTTAAATTTTTTTTTTATTTTGATGTAAAATCAAAATAAAAAGTTTATTGAATATCGAGAAACCTTCGCCGGAAGTTTTAAAAAAAAACTTGAAATTCTGTATAAGGCCACACAAAGTTAATTTTTCGTTTTGTATAACATGGTTATCCGAAATTCCAGTCGGGGGTCGGATTTTTTTTTTTTCAAAAAAATTTTTTTACTATAAATTAGTTGTTTCATGCTCATATTTAAGGCCACGCAAGTTAATTTTTCGTTTTGCATAACACGGAATCAGAAAATTCGGAAATTTTGTTTTTTTTTTAGCAGTCCTGTCGGGTTATTCCGGAAAATTAAGCTCAATATCGGGTGATACCGGATAAATTTACGGAAAAAAATTAAATAGCAAAAATGGAATAATTGGGGCAATTGGAACTTAAAAAAAAAAAAGTTTTTTTGAAAAATTGGGTCGGCGGGTTATGCAAAACGAAAAATTAACTTTGCGTGGCCTAATAATTATTAATTATTATTAATCCAGGAGGTCTCATCACTAATGTAAACTATTAGACTCTGATTACTAGCAATGGGACTCAAAGTAAATTGAGAGAGCCTATGCTTGTATATCATAAGCTAACATATACATATATAAAATATAAATATGGTTAGATCTTTTTTGGGTTTAATTTCAAGAAAAACGCACTATAACGATAACAGCAATAACAACGATAAATAATTCTTAAAATTTGTTTAAATCAAAGTATAGTAGACTACTGTATTTGATGGCAAATAATCGAAGTATAATTACTATCGTATTCGGCTTTTATTTAGGGGTAGCTAAACAAAATAGACTTTGATTTAAAAAAGAAGCCAAACATTTATACTATCTTGCTAAATTTATCAATAATTTTAACCAATTACTGCAAGAATATAACTGTGTCACTGCTTCGCCTTATTATCCAAACATTTGTAATATTCGCGTAAATACTTTGATTCTCGTCGCATTCATAAATTAACTAATAAAATTATTCGAATAAGTCTTTTTATTGCCAAACGTTATTAAAATAAAAAATGATTGAATTTTGCTAATTTGGAAGATAGCAAATATGCAATTAATTAAATTTAATAAGAAAGTAACCGTTAACCGTTAATTTCGTGATTCTAATTACAATTTTATGTTTTTTTTTATGTCGACGTATCCAGTAATTAGAATTTCTTTCTTTTTCCTTCTTTTAGTGACATAATATTTAGGTAAGGCAAATTAATAATTTTAGAATCATGTAGCAAATGCAACCAGATGACTAATTATGTACGTAAGATAATCGTGTTATAATTTTCTTTTTTAATAGCGCGAAGGAAAAACATTTAATTAAAGGTAAACAAAGTGCATCATTGAAATTAGTGGTAACGCGTTGTTTAATTATCCATTCGTTATGACAGTCACACGACACGTAGAATGAAATCATCGACAAGGATTTTCGAAATTCTTCATTATTAGCTTTTATTATCAATGACTATCCTGTATTATAAAAATCTTAATAGTTTTATCCACGCAGATTATGATAATCTAGCTAATTTTATGTGTTATTAAGTCTCTACTTTTCTTTCATCATATTCATTGTATTTTTCTTATCTATATTAAAATTACTTAGAAATTAATACATACTACATCATGACGCATTACGACATTATGCAGATGTATTGTCTAACCAATAAAACGGGATTCAAAATTTTAAACAAAGTAAAAAGGTATCGTGTAACGTAAATGATGTACTAACTTCGATCAGTAACTTGAATTAGGAAAGTAAATAATAAATAATTGATAGATATAGTTTATTAAGACAAATTAGGATTTCCTTTTTGCTGAATCTTTTTTCTGATTTTGTTATTGAAGGCATTTTCTAGTCGTTAAAGCAATAACCTGAATACCGAAATGCGTGACAGGTTATGCATCTGAAATACGCAAATTTCGTTAAAGTTCATTGATGTTTAGATTAACGTTTGTATTAAAGTTAGATTTAACAAGATATATGGTAAAATCGTTCAAGGAAAACTTTTTATTAAAGCATGAAAGATTGTTTCTTATGACGATTTTTGAGAAATACCCGATTTTTGGTAAAACAAACGCTTGTTTTGATCGTGTAACGTTACGCCTGATCTTGGTAGTCTGGCACTAACCTGTCACACATTCCGGACTTGCAATACTCTAATTCACGTAATAAAAAAGAACCACTTTTTCATTATGGTAGTTTGCGGCACACGCCGTATGTAAAATTGTGCGATTGTGTACAAAGCTTCGTGAATATGGATATAGAAAAAAATAATTATGAATAAATATTTTTCCAATAATACATATTTTTTGGTTTGTTTATTCAAAAAGGAATTCCGATTGGTTATAAAGAATAGCTTCAATACCTTTTATAGTTCTTTGTAAGCCATGAGTTCTAAACTCTAAAATAGTTAACCTCAATTGTAAGAAATTTTCACCACCCCTGCTATGGTAATTCAGATCAAGACTCTAATGTAAACAATATTAAAACATCGTGTAACGATATTCTATCAATAGAAATAAGCAAACTTACATAAGCTATTCTGACGCATGCATCAAAAGTCCCGTGAGACCAAGTGCAATGTGGAATCAAAACAAAGCTATGTTGATTCTAATCCTACCCTAAAAATGAAACTGTAGGCAACAGATTCTACAGAATTATTATGCAAATTATTTAGACCAATTATTAATTATCGTAAATATTCATTATATAAAATGGAAATTTCCATAGTTAAAACGCCAACTTTTAGTCAGTATTCCTTTTAAGTATATATTCAAATTGCTATTCACGTTTGTGTTACGATATATTGTGGCAATCATGAGAGACGTGTAGAGAGTGTGCATTTAATATACGGAGCACGCCAAGTTAATTATAGCTTCTATTAGGTTATAAGAAGTCTGGCTAGATGTGGTATATAACTTTATGTAATTTTGTCTTGAATATGAAACAATTTGTTCTATAATAAACTATATAGATAAAGAAAGAACACGGTCATATGATGATTGCCAAAACCTTTTCTAGTGATCCTAATTGATAACATGCACGATCTACGCCAGAATATCTAAGTTACTCTGATTATTAGAATTGACTCTGTTTATGACCCAGTAAACAGGTAGATACCCGGAGCTTAAATTTATCAATATTGGACATACGAGAAAATTAGCGAAACTTTTTTCGTTAAGTTAATGTTTCATGTGCTGTGTGGCAGCAAACAAGAGTGGCAGTAACTCTGACGAAAAAAATTTATGTTTTTTTTTTCATCTACTGCTCAATATTGTATACTTATTTGTTCTCACTACCAATGACTATTCTATATTATAGAAATCTTTCAGTTTTATCCGCACAAGTTATGACGCTCTAGCGAATTTATATGCAATTAAATCTCTATTTCTCTTTTCTTATTCATCACTAATTTTTTTCTTACCCATCATATTATGAAAGGTTGACACCATGTATGGCCTGACAAGTTAACAAAGAAAACTGGATTTTGAATAACGTAAATAATGTAATACCATTTTATTATTTTACGCGAGATTCACGTTTTATAAAAAAACACACCCCGTTTTTTAATGCTAAAAGAACGGATTAAAAAAAAAGGACTACCCTATTTGCGTAAATAATGAAAAAATTAATTTGTACAATTTACACAGGAAGACTTTACAAGAGTCTATACCATATTACATAATATAGTCGAATGACATTCCCAAATTAAGGGAAGTGAGATTTAGCAATAGGAAATATTCCTGTCATTAAAGCTTATATAAAGCCTTCACATCTTCCAAATAGTGTAATATTTTTTTTTACTTCCCAAACCTCTAATTAAGTGAACAAACTCATGATTTACTCAGAAGCTGATTTATATAATATATAAACTTTCGAACTTTCGGTTGAAATTTCACGTGTCAAGATTATATAGAGTACTTGCTACACTTAAATTTTATTTAATCGCAAAAAATTTTAAGCATACCTCCTCAAGAACTGCGCAATTATGTGACCGAAGCATGCACTAACAGCCGAAAGGCACATAAAAAATGTTAAGGTAAAACTACCTGCACAAACTGTATGAGAAGCGGCCTTGAATGTATTTTTAGCAGCTCAGGTAGAAAACGTGACCCAAAGCCAAAAGACAAAGTGATAGGTATTATTAATCAACATAGAAAACCTTCAGTAAATTCTACGTAGGATGTACATTATTAACTTCTTATTTGTCTGTAAAAAGGTACTCATACGACACCAATTATTTAAATAAAGATCAATTTAGCGCGCACTTCTTTCATCAAACACTTGGAATTTCTAATCATGGTGATATTATTAATAGTCAAAATATTTTGTTTATTAATCCTATTGATAGCACACCACTTTTAATTTATGCTAATTATGTTACTGCATCTTTGCCTTTAGCTGATTATCTAAGCAATCTTTCTTTTAAATAATCACCCATCTTATTAAGCAATCAACTTCCCTTGTCTTTCACTCCTTTTAATTTAGGTGAAAATCAGTATTTTAGCAATTCAGATCTAGCATATTATTTTAATATTACTAATT